AGATATTTCAAATTTACAACAAGAAATTTCATATGACAAATAGTGAACTTTTATCAGAACTAAATAAGATTCGAATGTATAAGACAAAAATATTGCATAAGAATTTTAAATAGGACAAAAATATTTAATAGGAGTCAGTTTCCTATTGAGATTTACGACGGAGACTGACTTGTTCTATATATTCGCTGTTCTGTTCCATTCCGATGAGTCTGACCACTACTCGCCTTCTCCACACAATCTCCTTCTTCCCCAAATCTCCTCCTCCTCTCTTCTTATCCGCTGCGACTCGAATCTCTTCCTTCTCCAAGCCCTCCGCATTCCCCTCCCTCTCCGCCAGGCTATCCCTCTCATTTCACATCTCCACCATGGCCGACGCTCCCGACGCCGGCATGGACGCCGTCCAGCGCCGCCTCATGTTCGAAGACGAGTAAGTACCTCCCTCCCCACTTTGTCCCTGCGTTTTCTTTTATTTTTGAGCGGTTAGGTTGATCTGTTTGTCATTTGGTCTTTTTATTTTTCTGCTCGGGAAACACCGGAACAGTAAATAAAATGAAATTCATAGGCTTTTTCTATTCTGTTTCCTAAATTCTAGCTATTTATTTCAAATTTATTTTCTGTTGATTGTTGTGTTGTGGTCTGTTTGGTTGCTCAGAATTTGGAACAGATGAGTAACGAATAATTTGTCAAAGGTAAGCTGTGATCGTGAGTTAATTTTCTTTGTGAATACTCCAGTTTCTAGTTGACCAAACAGAGCACAACATAGTGGAGAGGAAAATATAATTAGAAAGACACAAATGTATGCACAGGCTGAGCTCTCATCTGAGCCAATGATACTTAGAGCTCGAGTTTTTGTTCGATTTAAAGGAGGCTACATCTGATCTGAAATCCCGAATTGGTTAGGAAGTAAGAACTGAAACAACCATTTATTGCTTTCCCCTTTAGTTTCTGCGTGTTGCCGAAAACATTTGAATATGAGAATACCAATCAGCTGTGATACTTGTTCATTCCGCAACGGATTGGAATTTAGCTAGGGAGGTTGGGATGGAATAGGAATATTATTAGCTCAACATGCTAAGTAATTCCGCAACACTAAATTTTGAATTCCATTCTAGATTGGCTTTAGTACTACTAGCCATAACTACCCACGGCGGATTTTCATATTTTGGAAATAACGTTTAGGGCGTAATGTAATGTGCACAACCGGTCTTTATTATGCGAAAATTATCACTAGAGAAAGAAGGGGCAACTCCCCCCACTGAGCATCAGTTGTCTCTTCCATCCGTTCAATCGGTGCTGCCCCTTGTCCTTGTCCTTTACGATTTTAACCTTTGATATTCACTCCAATGTATATTCAGGTGTTAGTCACTCCCTGGAGCTGACAATCTATTTTATTCAAATTTCTGCAGATGTATTCTGGTGGATGAGAATGATCGTGTTGTAGGTCACGACACCAAGTACAATTGTAAGTAACTTTGCTTGGATTAACCTTCTCATTGCGAGATTTCAGCATGATAAATTTTTTATTTTTAGAAATTAATATTCTGTTTCAATGGTTTAGGACTTGAAGTTTTATGACTTCATGCCATGGCTTATGATGTAGTACTTGATAAACCGTTCTAGGACATCTTGAATTTGATTTGAGTAAGATAGAAGTTCCGAGGGAAGAATTTTTGTCTCCTATTTTAATTTATTGCAAAGAAAACCCATAGTAAAGGATCATATTTCCTTGGAGCTTGAATGTACTTGGTAATAATGCCTGCTCTATACATGTTGATACAACTCTTGTGTTCTTTTTTGTACAACTGTTGGTTTCTCAAGTTTTAATTTATTCTGTGAACTGCAGGTCACTTGATGGAAAAGATCGAATCTGAAAATTTGCTTCACAGAGCTTTCAGTGTCTTTTTGTTTAACTCAAAGCATGAGTTGCTTCTTCAGGTATTTTTCTTGGATCATGCTAATTGAAAGTCACAGTGGTGGCAGCGTTCAGTTGAGAGTGGTATTTCACAAGATGTTCCATGGTAGAAGGGTGCATCCCGAGGATCTTTGAGTAATAATAATAGAATATGAAGAGCGGATGACTGTGTTTTGCTATTGATGGCATTGATTGTTCGTTTGATATTTGTGGATAATTTCTGTATAACAATTGTTAATTATAGTGTTTGACATACTCATTGTCTTTCTGTGCACAGCAACGTTCTGCAACCAAGGTAACATTTCCACTTGTGTGGACAAACACCTGTTGCAGCCATCCGCTGTACCGTGAATCCGAGCTTATTGATGAGAACTCTCTTGGTATATTTCTCTGTTTATCTTACCTTTCAGAGTCAATTTTACTTGTCCTATTGTGACTTAGTCTATCAGTTTTTTATCTCCATTTTGTTTCCAGGGGTAAGAAACGCTGCTCAAAGGAAGCTTTTGGATGAACTCGGTATTCCTGCTGAAGATGTGCCAGTTGATCAGTTTATCCCGTTGGGTCGCATGCTGTACAAGGCACCTTCTGATGGCAAGTGGGGAGAACATGAACGTAATATTCCAACTCGAGTTACTGTACATTGTTTACTATTACGTATTTGCAGTTGATTACCGTCTCTTCACTGTCCAAGATGCATTTGTTAGACTGGTCGTGATAATTGAACAAATTGTCTTGTTTCAGCTTTTTGATATTTACCCTGTGTGTGTATTATGTTTTGTTTGCAGTTGATTACCTTCTCTTCACTGTACGAGATGTTAATGTGCATCCGAACCCTGATGAGGTAGCTGATATCAAGTACGTAAACCAGGAGCAGCTGAAAGAACTGTTGAGGAAGGCAGATGCCGGGGAGGAAGGTCTGAAGCTGTCGCCTTGGTTCAGGCTCGTTGTGGACAACTTCTTGTTCAAGTGGTGGGACCATGTTGAGAAAAACACCATCAAGGAAGCTGCTGACATGAAAACCATCCACAGGTTGACTTAAATCGAGTCTGCTGGGAAACTTTGATTGTGGTTTTATTATACTTGGTGTTTTTTCCCGTTCCAATAAGTTTGGACTCATAAGGCGTTCCCACAAGCGGGCATTTTGTTGTTGTTGTTACTTGATTTAGTTCGGTTCTTTCTTGACTGAAACAAGTTTGTTAAATGCCGTGGTTTTGTAATTTAGAACTGATGAATCAATAAGAAACTTTTCGCCTCTTTCGTCATGAAACAGGTTCACAAATTTCTTTTCTGCATGTTTGTCTCGGCAGGGCAAGAACTTGCTATTTAGTCCTGCGAAAATGCCACGGTGCCAGTATTCCATGCCATCGTACAGCATTATGTATTTAAACTTTTACACGTGTTAGTGCACAATTGGTTCGGATACCACGGTTGTGGACTTCAATCACAAGTTGCCAGCATTAGAGCACTCCCTTGTGTTAAAGGGACCTCACATCCCACATCGGCTGGAGCAACAAAGTCACCGCTCTTTATATTGACTAAGGAGGGGCACAAACAGCACCTTGGGGTGCTGGGCTGGGATATACACGTGTACCTCAACCCTAAACCATGCCCCGATTCTACGGGTCAACCTGTAAGGGGTCTTTATCCGGTGTTTCCCCCGTGCGGTTAAAAAAATGAAACAACGACGCCTCGCGCTGTATATTCCCGCGTCGATAAAAAGCCCTCGAGAGGTTCGAAGGTGGTACCGCCGACGCCTGTTGTTCGTCCTCTCTTGGCTTTCCCAGGTGTCTCGCGGTGCTTGTTGTCCTCACCTCTCGTGGCACCCCGGCCTATTTTTATTCTCTCGCTTCTTATTTTTTGCTATGAGATAGGAGAGATTATAGAGTGTCATTTTAATGGAGTTCCCTCAGCATTTCTTTTTCTTTTCCTTAGCATTTTTTTCTCTTTTCATACACACACTTGTCTGAACGGCTAAATTTGTTGAAGGTTTATGATGAAAGCCTTGTAAAGTTATATCTCGATAATTGTATGGATGTCTTTTGTGTGAAACGTCACATGTATTGAGTTTCAACTGTCTTACAAATTTTGGCAAGGCTGAAATTGTCTTCATCAACTATGCATATTTAGTTGTCCAATTATGTAATTTCAATCTTTCTATCTCATTCGTCATGGGATACATCACGTTAATATGTCAGCAGCACCATAATGGTTTACCTGGTATAATTAATTGTTAATAATATGACTATGCAGGTGTGAACATAGATCTGTCTCTTTTCAGAACTAAAAGCCACCTATGATGTGCTCCACTTGTTATATCAACCACAATTTAATTAAAATTTAATAATAACACAGATTCTTTGCGTTGAATACTTCACCAAACTTTCTTTAGCATTTTCCTTTTGTTTTTACCTTTTGGATTTATTGTGTAGATTCATCAAGTTTATTTCTTTCTTTCAAAGGAGTCATCTCCCCAAAACTATAATATATCTTTCCAAATAATCTCACTAAATAAGGGGAAAAAAAATTAGGAAGATTTAACAAAACACTTCTGGTACGGTTTATTTTTAACAAAAAACCACATTTATACATTTTTCTGGTACCATTCACTATACCTTTAAAAATGGTTTTTCATTAAAACAGAAGTTTTTTTGGACTTTTCGTTAGTTTTTCTAGAAAAATGTTTGACAACTTTGAGTTTTAGTGATAAAGATAAATAAAAGGTAAAGTAAATAATACTAAGATTAACTTTTTAGTATAAAAATATGGTTTTTCTTTAAAGTAATCAGTACCGAAAATTTTTCGTTAAAATTCCTAAAACAAAACTCAACTAGTGTAAAAGAAGAGAAAAATCCTCTTCGAATAAATAATGAAGGAAAACAAACAAGGGAAAAAAAAAACAACAGATGAAAAAGACTGTATCTTGCACGCGTTTTACAACCTTTATGTGGTGTATGCTAATCCTATTTATTATCATTAGATGAAATTAAATTTTGAGATTTATACTTATTTCCTAAACGAATTTTGAAATTCACACTCATTTAACTGTTATAAATATGATGGTACAAATGCTTCCTAAAACAGATCAGATTTTCTCTCCCCCTCAAAGCTTCTTGCTTTTCCTTCCTCTTCCGAGAGAGACGCAGACACAGACACCCACAGTCATAACTCACAAGTGAACTGCTCAGCTGCGTTCCGGTGTCCTGCTCCATCGTTCCAGGTATCAACTTTTCATATTAGCCGCCGGATTTCATCTCCTCTCTTGTCTTGATTCGTCTGATTTGGTTATCCGATTGATCAAAATTGGTGTCAAATTCCAATTTCTTGCATTTCTCTGGCATACAGGCCGACCCAATATGAAAATTAATCAACTTTTTCTTTTTCTGTATTGATTTGGATCATTGGGTCGGGTGTCTTGCTTGGATTTGTATGAAAATTAGATTAAAACCAGCTTCTGCAATTAATAATTTAATGAATGATTAATAGAGTTAAGATTTCTGATTAATCTTGTTAGTTCTGAATATGTATAATGATGCGAACAACATAGAGATCTAATCCTTGCGTGTGTTTATGTGGATGAGGTTTGGTGTTTTTTTTTTTTTCCCGAGTTCAGAAGGCATGTGAACTTATGAAAATTTGTATATGATTAATCGTAATTAGTTTTAACTTTTATTAGGAGGTTGAGATTTGTAATATATTGTGCAGTTTTCTGTAATTTGAGTGAATCCAAACATGTAAGATTTACAAATCTTCTCTGCCTTGTGTATTCTTGAAAATGGCGACTCAATACAAAATGCTGCTGGTTTCAATTGTTTTCGGACTTGGAAAACCATGTCTGAGCTGGGGGAAAACGATGTTAGCGTAATTTATTCAAAGAGTAGTATGCATCCTATATTTGAATTCTTGAAAATGTTGATACTTTGTTAGGTGATCATCTCGGGGGTCCTATTTGTTCCGTATATTTTCCTTTTTTTGCTGTGACTGGTCATTGTTGTTTGTTGCAAATGAAATGAGTAAACCATTTTGAGCTTTTGAATTTTCTCATGTTGAAGGGAATTCTGCAGTGGTCCTCAGCTCTACAAAATGTTTTTTTTTTTTGACACTCATAGTTGAAGCGAAGATAATTGGATTATGGCAGCGTGTGACTTGAAATATTGATGGGGTTTTAAACTATCCGTATCATGATTTTAATTTGCACAACTCCATTTCAAGCGCCGATTCTACTACTGATGCTTCGGTTGATCTTAGTGTGTGCAAGACTAATATTGCAATCTTTGCATTGTAACCACTTTATGTCTCATATAAAGCATACTTCTGTAACATTTAGTGTTTGGGATTCTTATATTTTCATTTCTTCCATCAAATCTCTCATGACATCCTCTACGTGCTTTGCTATAACGTTTCCCGTGAAACCTTCTATAAGTTGCCTGTTGTCAGTCTAACACATCGACCCTTGTCTTGTCCTGAAGCTGCTGGGAACAAATGGCCTTGGTTACAACTGCTGAAGTTTGCGACGCTCACTCGCAGTTGATTGGAAGTGGTGATCTTCGGGTGCTTGAGCCAGTATTCCAGAGATATGGCCGGCGACAGGTCTTCTCTGGACAAATAGTTACCTTAAAGGTATTTGAAGACAATGTTCTTGTTCGTGGGTTTCTCGAGGAGAAAGGAAACGGCAGAGTACTTGTTGTGGATGGGGGTGGAAGCAAGCGGTGCGCAATATTGGGAGGCAACCCTGTAGTCCAAGCTCAGAACAACGGATGGGCAGGGATAGTGGTCAATGGCTGTATAAGAGATGTCGACGAGATTGAAGGCTGTGACATCGGCGTGAGAGCTCTTGCATCCCATCCCATGAAAGCCAACAAGAAAGGGATTGGAGAGAAACAGGTACCGATAACCATTGCCGGGACAAGAATCTGTGACGGAGAATGGCTTTATGCCGACACCGATGGAATTCTGATCTCTCGTACCGAATTATCTGTCTAAACCTTAAACAAAGACCCTTCGAAAGGAAAATTTGTTTCCTGCAAACTGTTGTCCTGCAACGGTTGCAGAAAGATTTTCTCCTTCCGAAGACGAGTAGTATTCGCAGCACGAAATCTATGTCTTTCTTTCTTTCAGTTGCTAAGCTGTTGTACCTTTGCCTCATTTTCCAACTGTCTACTGTATTGAGCAACATTACACGATATCGAACTCTTAACTATGTTTTAGTTGGTTTATCAATAATGATAATAATTTGATCAGTAACTTAGTCATGTGCATTAACACAAGGCAACAAGTACATAATTTTTTACATGGTTTACATCGCCTTATAAACAGACCGATTCCGAGTCCCCGACTTCCTCAGGAGCAGCAACACTTGCATCGTCTCTTGTAATGCTGATTGTTGAGGGTCCAGATGAGCCGACAGTTTCTGGCAAATTCAAATCCCCACGTTGCAAGTAGATTGCCTTTCTTTTGCTTCTGCTTCGTTGCCATTTTCTTAGCAGCTCTTGAACATCCTCGCTCTCGTCATCTCTAGATATGGCTCGTGATCCCCTAGCACGTTGCCTCCGCTCTGCAGAGGATGATTCTCTTTTACTGCTATAACTCGGGACCTCAGCGACGTCCCCTGCTGCTGGGGTTGCGGCAGTACTGGCACTGATCGTCGTCATTGGAAAGAAGAGCGGCCTGCACCAAATCATGAGAAGTACGAGGAACATAACATAAATGTATAGAGAGGTCCAGACGTAGAATGTCCACTTCCAGCTGCGCACCAATTGTTTAGTCCAAGGCAGCTGGGAGTTCATCAAAATTTCAGCTTCGTACAACTGTGGAATGTACGAGGTTCCGGCCCTTGGAATTAAAGTTACTCTTATGGCTTGAGTTCTTGGATAATGCCCTTCCTTGTTCTTGATTATTTGGACCGTTAACTTCTGGGTTTCACCAGAGATTCCTAGCAGCAGAGGAACTCCCATCAGAAATGTTCGTGTGAGTCGAACCGGGAGGCTTCTAAATCGCAGCATGCAGGGCTGGCTTGATCTTGTAATCACATCACCGTTCACTGACAATTGTTCTGCACTCAACTGATGGCCATATCACCAATTAGTTAATTAATTAGTAACAAACAATAATTTCAGTCAAATTATGACCAATCTCATGTAATGTAACACTAGTCAGGCTTTTCCCCCCAAACTTTCAAATGTCGATTTCCCCTCTAGAATTTAATTTCAACCAATTTTTCCCTAAACTATTATAAACGACCAATTTCTCGTACTGTCATGTTATTTAATTGTGGTAGCGAGATACAAATCCAATGAGAAATCGGTGAAATACACAATAGCCTCGACGAACATATGCACGAACGAACGTCTTGCACAGAGAACTTTTTGATGTAACACATCTAATAAGTTAATAACTAAGAGATGGATAAATAGATACCTGAAAGACACCAATGTCCCTATTGAAATCAGATTCAGGCATCAAAAGCACCAAAGAGACATAAAAAGTGTGTCCAACAGGAATTCCCCTCACATGCTTCCTAGAATATGAACTCTTATGTCGGTAAATATCATCAGCAGAACCAAATGCAAAGACAGCCGTCGGATGAGGCTCCGTGTAATCGAAGTGCAGCTGCTCCCTGACGAACACTGGCTCCTCCACCCACAGATTCACCAACCCAATTCCGAAAAGAGCGGATAAAAGCAAAACCATGACCAAAACCATGCAGACATAAGCGGCCCCGAGAAGCCCGAATCCGATCTTCTTGAGGAGGAGGGCGCTGCCGTAGGTGATGGTGGAGGGGACCTGCTGGACGACAGATTCGACGGTTTCTTTGGCCTCCTCGGCTTGGTGGTAGGACTCGGAAGCGGCGGACAGGAGGGAGAAAATGGGAGCGGAGAGAGTGGTAAAGCAGTTGTAAATCAAGTCGATTTGTAAAGACGCAAGCTTTGAGAACCAATCTGTTGGTTTTGGTAAGCCATATTCATCATCTTCATCAAATATTGGTGTCTCTGGCGGCAGCCGCGGTGGGTCGGTGATTGTTGAGTTGGGGTAAGTAGCTTCCATGTCCTTTGAGTCTCTGACACTGAGAGAGAGAGTGTGAGAGTGCTGTCGTAGCTTAGCCAAGCCAAACATAGCAAGAGGCAGAGCTCCAGGTGTGTAATGTGCATGAAAGGAAAAGACGCGACGTGGAAGTGTGGCTGTTTGAGGGGTTGACATCTGTTCTGTTCTGTTGTAGCTTAGCTTTATATATTAATTTTTAGAAGGTGGTGCTTCTTTACACACTTGTTCATTTATCTTTTAATTTTTTTTAATTTATATGATCTGACAGTTATAATTTAGTGTTTTGTAAATATGATGTGATTTTTAAACATAATTTTTAGCTTTGGTCCATTTATGTTTAATTTTAAACATCAATTTTGTTTGATTCATTCGATTCAACAATTATATATAAAATAGAATGTGCGTAACTAAGGTTTTCCATAATAAGCCGAAAAATTTAAGAGTAAATCCAATATGTTGAACTCATATAGTAATCACACTCATAGACTGACAAATTTGAGTGTAATTCTAATATATCGACCTCATGAGTTCAATATATTAAACTGATGAATTCGTATACTGAATTCATGAAGAGTTCGGTATACTAAATTCATGATTGTGATGCGTTACTATTTACTAAATTCATGTTAGTAACATAAAAAATTGGTAAGAACGATATATGTACTTTGCAAATTCATTTTCAGTGGTGTTTGGTGATATTTTTATTTACCTTTAAGTAAGAGTTTTTATATTCGATTCTTACTGATTTCACTCTCTTTATCAACTAACAATCTAATTCATGATTTCACTATGTCTAACAACTAACCATCTAATTCATTAACTCTTTCTACTAGAGATCAAATCTCTCAAAATGAATGTGGTCTCTCTATGACCACAATTATTAATTGACACATATTAAATTTTGAAAACAAAATTTTAAAAAAAAAATTTCTACTGTTGAAAAAAAAAAAAAGATAGAAAAAGAAAACCATAGTCAGCAACGGATCTGCATATACGAACAGTTTCACTGAAGGAAGCGACAGAGTTGATCAAACGACAACGTTTCGGCTCTCCCTTGCTTCATCTACTTCGCGAGACGTCTCGCCGCCGACTCTGCTTCCGAAACATTCGAAATTACTAGACCCGCGTAATTAGCACATGATAATCTCCCTGATTAAGCAATGCAACAACCTTTCGTCCCTCAAAGCCGTACACGCCGCCGTCCTCAGAACCCATGACCTCCACCTCAACCTCTTCCTCTGCACCAACCTTATCGCCCACTACGCCTCTCTAGGCTCCCCCTCTCACGCTTACACCCTCTTCTCCGCCGTCTCCTCCGCCTCCGACGTCTTTCTCTGGAATGTCATGATCAGAGGTTTCGTCGACAATGGCCTGTATAACAAAGCCATTGCTCTGTACAGTAAAATGTGGGACGTGGGTGTTAGACCCGATCATTTTACTTTCCCTTTTGTGATTAAGGCTTGTGGGTTTGCTCGTGATTGGAGATTGGGTAAGAAGGTTCATGGAGATGTGATTGAATGTGGGTATGCATTAGATGTGTTTGTAGGTAATGCACTTATCGGTTTGTATGGGAAATTTGGGCAGGTTGAAACTGCACGGAAGGTGTTTTATAAAATTCCCCAGAGAAATGTGGTTTCTTGGAGTTCGATGATTGGGGTGTACGCGCAAAATGGGTGCTTTGAGGATGGGTGGGAATCTTTTTTAATGATGTTGAATGAGAAAATTACACCCAACAGGGCTTCCGTTTTGAACGCGATGGCATGTGTTTTTCAAGAGAATGATGCTGGTGAGGTTTGTGGAGTTGTGACCGGTAATGGACTTGATTTGGACCGTTCAGTTCAAAATGCTGCAATGCAAATGTATGCACGGTGCGGAAGAATGGATATTGCTCAGGTGTTTTTCGATAGGATCAGTGATAAGGACTTGGTGTCTTGGTCATCCATGATCGAAGCATATGCGCAAGCTGATTTGCCTCTTGAAGCTGTTGAGCTATTTAAAGAGATGAGAGAGCAAGGGGTTCTCCCTGATTTGGTGGCACTTCTAAGTGTTGTTCGCGCTTGTTCAAGTTTAGCATCGTTTCAGCAAGCGCGTTGGATTCATGGACTTGTTATTCGTAGCTTTTTCAGCAATTGCATTGCGCTTGAAACTTCTATAGTTGATCTATATGTTAAATGCGGAAGTTTGATGTATGCTAGAAGGGTTTTTGATGAGATGCAAGAAAGAAATATAATCTCGTGGAGCACCATGATTTCAGGATATGGGATGCACGGTCATGGAAGAGAAGCAGTTGACCTCTTTCATCAGATGAAGGCTCTTATAATACCAGACCACATTGCGTTTCTATCAGTGCTGTCAGCCTGTAGTCATGGTGGGTTGATTGCCGAGGGATGGGACTGCTTTAATTCCATGAGTAGGGATTTTCATGTCACACCAAGGCCCGAACATTATGCATGTATGGTTGATCTTTTGGGACGAGCTGGTCGACTGGATGAAGCCTTTGAGTTCATTGAGAGAATGCCGGTAAGGCCAGATGCTGGTGTATGGGGATCACTTCTCGGAGCATGCAGAATTCATTCATATACAGAACTGGCTAAAATTGCTGCTGGACATTTATTCGAATTGGATGCAGGGAACCCAGGGCGATATGTTCTAATGTCCAATATTTATGCATCTTCTGGGAAACAGAAAGATGCTGATGAGATTAGAGATTTAATGAAACAAAGAGGGTTGAGGAAAGTGGCTGGTCACACCAGTATAGAGATTAAGAACAAGGTCTACACATTTGTGGCGGGAGATCATTCGCATGCTCAATCGGATTTGATCTATATGGAGCTGGAGAAATTGATAAACAGGATTCGACAAGAAGGGTACAAGCCGGATTTGAACTTTGTGCTGCATGATGTGGAGGAAGAGATGAAGGAGAAAATGCTGTATGCGCATAGTGAGAAGCTTGCAATAGTTTTCGGACTGTTGAATTTAGGACCGGAAAGTGTGATCAGAATAAAGAAGAATTTGAGAGTTTGTGGGGATTGTCATACAGCTTCCAAGTTTATCTCCAAGGTTACAGGAAGGGAAATTGTAATGAGAGATGCTCATAGATTCCACCATTTCAAGGATGGTGCATGTTCTTGTGGGGATTATTGGTGAACATAAACTCGTTAGCTTAACAAGTTGTGTTCATGTCAACCCGTTAAGAAAGTAGTAGTTGTAGCAAGTAAATTCTTTGGTTTAGTTACATAAAAATACTATACTTGTTTAATGTTTACTTAGCGTTGGAAGGCAAACCTAAGCTTAGCGAGGTTGGCTTAAACGTACGTTAATAGAGGAGGAATTATTACTCATTGTTTTGGATTATATAGGAAAAGCAAACCAGCTTCTCAAGATTTGTGGCTAGCCATTAGCATAACAAATCCCACGCTTAAGTCTCGAACTCCTAAAACATAACTATTACATTATCGAAAAAGAAATGCTAAAGCTTCCTATTTTATAATGTTCACACAAAAATTAACGTTAATCAGTGAAGAGGTAAAGAATTCATAGAGAGTTTCATTTTCGACATAGTTTCTTTAGCATTTCTCTTATCGAAATAAAACTACACTAATTACTAATCAATGAGCTAATATAGAAAATGTGCCAAGTAAAATGGATTTACTGTGTTTGGTACGTGAATTAAGTAAATAATACTTGGTAAGTATTGTTGCATCATGCCTAACTTAAAAGGAATACAAGCAATCAATTAGATAAGGTTAAAACTTGAATAGAGTTTGACGGAAATATTTTCTTAGTCATGGTGACATAAAAACTCATAATCACTTATCCTTTGATTTGACACTAAAAACTAGATGGTCATTTTTTTCAAATCCAAATAGTATTTGACTATTTTTTGTTGATCATCCACTGTCCAAAAGTATGAGACTCTATAGTCGATAAGCGATGAAATTAAAAGATAATAATGCAATAAAAATAGTAGAAACTTGAAGAGAAAAAGAGAAATGTTAAGAAGATTGGAATTGGATCATCTTCAAGGCAATGCCTCAGGATTCTACTGACCGGACAACATGTGCCGCTGGATTTTGATCCAATGACTACAAATAGAAGGGTCCCTCTAAAAGTTATAATGATCGTAGCCGTTAGATCAAAATCCAACGACTCATGTTGTCTGGTCAGTAGAATCCCGAGGCATTGCCTCGGAGAGGATCCAATTCCAAGAAGACTCTCTCACTTTACAGTGAGACTTTTCATGAACTCCTCGTCATTTCATTTTTTTTACAGAACATTTTATAATATTGGTACGAGAATTGTATCAAAATATTAAGAAATTCTTCTCAATATTTCTCAAGGAAAAATTGTAATAGAAATTTAAGGGAAGAAACGAAACCAACTTTATCTAGTTTTACGTGAAAAACATTGTAAAGAAATAACACGTATTGGATTTTGGGGGGAGTTTGTTGAAGTTCATCGTTTCTGATAAGAAGAAGAGATGTGTCGTTCCCGAAAAAAGCTTTAATCAGCGTAGGACTATTAACCCACCTCTCTCTCTCTCTCTCTCTCTCTCTCCCCTTCTTCTTCTTCCCCTCTCTCTCTGATAAATCCATTTGTTCTTCTTATTGGAAACACACATAAATTTTGTACCATAAATATAGACATAGAAACTTGATCAAAAAAGCCTTTTCGTTTCCTGAATTTTGAATCAAACCATTTTTTTTTAATTTAATTTTCATTTCGATACAATAACAAGGAAGAGGTTTCAGCTCCGCAACCACTCAGGGAGGAGGAGCTGAAACCAAAAACCAGAGTCAGGGTTTTTAGAAAATTCCTACAGTTAGATGGCGAGGCAGAGTCACAGCCTTGTCACTCTAGCAGGAAAATCCGACCAGACGGACAAAAAAAATACAGTGTGTGTAAAAAAATAAGGGATTTTTTTAGACCAATGGAGCAAGAAGACGACGCCGTCACGGAGAGCAAAGCAGACGGAGGAGGAGGCGGTGGTGGTAGTGGTGGAGCAGGGAGCAGTATTAGCATTGCAGAGAGGAGGGCAGCCAAGTGTGGATTCAATGCGGAGAGGATCAACACGGTGCGTGTCAGGACAACCAACCCTTTGAATTCTCCGCCGGCGAGGTCCCCGTGCCTTACTATTCCGTCTGGTATCAGCCCCACGGCTCTGCTCGACTCCCCCGTGATGGTCCCCAATTCTCAGGTTTTTCTTTTTTCGTTCTTTTTCTTTCATCTTTGTTAATTTTCATGGTTTTTTTTTTTTTTTTGGTGAAATTTTGGGTTTTTCTTCTTTTGGGAGATAAATGTATGTGACTGCATATTCTTCTGGATTTTGTTTAGTCCGAAAAACCTCGGAGTATAGTATACTACGGAGCACCATAGAACTTTTCGCCGTGTGATCAAGGAAACGTATAACTTTGTATGTTTTTGGTTTTTTGGTAAACTTATGGGTTTCTGAACCGCCGTAGTATATCTGCATCTGGTTGCAAGCAATTGGTAGTAGGGTGAAAGTAAATGTCAAACAGATTAACAGTTTTTACTTCTTTTAGTATTTGGTTGCTACTCATTAATCTTTATTAGCTTATTTAACTAGAAAACTTGTGTTAAAAGGAACTAATTAACTTACCTTGTTCATTTATAATTTGGTTTTTTCAGATCTGAATTTGTCATTCTGCACTTTTGTATAAAAGTCTCTGCTTTGACATTGTTTGGTTCAAAATACAATCACCAAAAGCTAGGCATATGAACACTATGGATGTTGAGAGTTGCAAAGTCCAAAGCTTTTTCTTTCTTTGTGATGTTGTCTAGGACGTCCTGCTTGATATGTGATCTTCGATTGTTGTATTGTTCTAGGCGCTTCCATCTCCCACCACCGGAACTTTTCAATTGCGTCCTCCCAATGATAACAGCTCGCTGCTGAAATCAGGAACTCGTGAAGATGATGGTTACAGGACGGCCTATTCGAATTTTGGAAATCAGGTAAATGCCTCAACTTACGATGCGTCCTCATATCTTCAAATCATCAATGTCCAACGGTACTTGTTTAAACCAAAATGTAAGTGTTTAAACCAAAATGTCCAAGGGGGGAGTGACTTTGATAAGTTTCCCAAAGGTACATATTTCATGTCTGAAAGTACCAATAAATTATGTTAAGAGGTTTTTGTGAGGTTGTGTTTGCATGAGTTTGGTATCTTCCCATTGCGTTGTTCCTCAGGGATCTACTGTTGACTACCAAGCTCTTGTTTTGGAGCAACAACCAATGGAGTTTCAATTCCCGATGGAGTTTTCCAAAGAAGCTAATGCAATGAACTATGCTGTGGATCCGTCCACTGATGTTAGAAACATAAGCAGTGGTGTGATTATGAATGCCAACGGCGCAAACTTGCAAATGTCTCATTCCAGTGCAGCTAGCGATCAAAACTCTCTTCCCAAAGAAGCGGTTGATGGGGAGGACATGGGGACCCATCAGTTTTCAGAAGGAGAGCATAAGGGGTCATACTCAGCTGCAGGAATGGTAAGGACCTCAGAACACGGATACAATTGGAGGAAGTATGGGCAGAAACAGGTAAAAGGTAGTGAATATCCAAGGAGTTATTACAAATGCACACATCCAAATTGTCAGGTGAAGAAAAAGGTGGAACGATCCTATGATGGTCAAATAACAGAAATCATCTACAAGGGAGCTCCTCATAATCATGCAAAACCTCAGCCTAACCGTAAAGCTGGAGCATCGGTTGGACCATCATTTTCTTATGATGACATGTTAGAGATGGGTGAAGGTAGTAGGGCTGCTGTCAAAGTTGAAGGTGGGCCAGTTTGGACAAATATTCAGTCCTGTAAGGGTAGGAAAGTTGGCTACTATGGGAGGCCTGACGGTCTGGAAAGGACATCCTCAGCATCTGTTGTTACCGAGCTTTCTGATCCATTTTCAACTACCCAAGGGAAGTCCATGAATATCTTTGAATCAGCCGAAACTCCAGAGCTTTCATCCACACTTGCTAGTCATGATGATGATGATCAGGCCACCCAAGGAAGCATATCACTTGGAGATGATGCAGATGATGAAGAATCTGATTCAAAAAGAAGGCAAGTCAATTTCTGATTATCTCAAAGGTATCTTTTTCCAGGACGCCATGACTGAACAACATTATAATCTTCTCCATTGGTTTTTGCTTCCAGAAAGAAGGAGAGCTGCATGATTGAAACAAATTTTGCATCCAGGGATGTCCACAAACCAAGAGTAGTTGTCCAAATTGAGAGCGAAATTGACATACTTGATGATGGCTATCGCTGGCGGAAGTATGGGCAAAAAGTTGTCAAAGGAAATCCAAACCCCAGGTATGCTCTTCCTCTCTGTCACTCACTCATTCCATCGAACTTGTTAGTGTGGATCTCTATGGAGTTATGAACATAGAAGAGTTCATTAAAAAAATATAGAAGAAGGACAGAGGATGGCATTTTCTTGGTGTAATTTATTTCTTCAATTAAGATATTAGCTCATAATCCGTATTATTTGCATAACAATTTCTATGTATACGGTTAATCTTTGTATCATTCTTCATCCTATAGGAGCTATTACAAGTGCACAAGTGCGGGATGTTCAGTAAGGAAGCACGTGGAAAGGGCCTCCCACGATCTGAAATTCGTAATTACAACATATGAGGGAAAACACAACCACGAAGTGCCTGCAGCGAGAAACAGTAATCACATGAATTCAAGTAGCGGTAATGGACTCCCATCTACTGCCAATGCTCAGCCAGTTCTGGTATTACCTAGAAATACCAATATTCCAAAGCCTGAGACACAAGTACAAGATCTTGCACCTCATTTTGATAGAAAAGCGGAATTCCATGACAAATACATGAGGCCTAGTTTTCTCGGGAATTTCAGTAATGACATGAAATTTGGTTCTTCCTCCCCCTACCAAATGAAATATCCTCCTCTGCAGAATACCATGCTGTATGCCTCATTCGGAATGCATGCTAATCACAATGTGGCTCATCAGGCTGGTTCTGTTGTCCCAGACTTCCCAATTTCACTGCCTATGAACCTTCCGCCACCCGGTAACCTCCCTCTCGCCAGTTACGATTTCAACAACGGAAAATCAGTTTGTCCAGAACAGCCTTATTTTTCCGGACAGCAGCTGCAGGAGATCGATGTAAGATTCCTACAGCCTAAACAAGAGCAGAAGGATGATAACCTTTATGATGCCTGCTTCCCAACAATGGATCAGTCAAGTGCAGCATTATCGTCGTCATCGCTATTCTATCACAGGGTCATGGGAGGTTATCCGTCATAATTTTTTCTGTTCTTCTGCTTCTAAAGCAGTCATCAGCCGAGGCAGATTTTGGTTTCCCGCTCGCCTCGTTCTGGTTAAAGGTTTTATTTTCTTGCAAAATTTCATTGCAGACAGTTTCCTCTTCATGTTTTCCAACTCGATCAATCTCTCTCCCTCACTAGTGTATACTGAGCTTGAATTCCGTTTTCTGGCGCCGGAAACAAAGACTGGAAAAGGGGTTTGTATTTGAAATTGTTGGAATCATTTAAACACAGCAACACAATAATCAGAGTCTTCAAACCACCATTGATATTTGATATGCTATTCATTGATAACGTTCAAAGATCAACAACATCAAGAAAGAAACTGATTTAAAAAGCACATGGAATCAATTCTCAAACATTGATTTGATCATCATCTTAGGCATAATAGAAAGCAAGACCCATAAACTATTATACATCCCATCGTAAAATTCCACTTAAATACCCTAAATAACCTTAAACCCACTTCCCAACCATACCAAGCACCAATCCCGTTCCGACCCCATTCTAGTAATTTTACCCCCCAAAGCACCGGAAAGCCCGTTCCTTTGGCTGATTCGATTCGATTTTGAACCGAAATTTTACTTCTTCAGGCTTCCACGGACGCCGGGGCGTGGCTTGTTAGCGTCCTTGACCGGCTCCGCCACCTGGGTGCTGGTGCTAGCGTGGCGGTTCACAATCTTCTCCTCCTCGAACGGGATCTTCGGATGCCGAGCTTCGTGGTGAATCTTGATCGATTTCACGTCCGGCGCCGTAATCTTACAGTGCGGGCACTCCATCTTCGCGTGTCCTCCCTTGTCTTGCCCGGTCCGGTCAGCTATCCCGGCCTTCCCGCCGCCGCGGTTGGTGGTCGCAGCATCGATCTTGGCGGCGATCTCCTTGGCCGTGTGCTTCTTGGGCTTCGCTTTGCCTGTCATCTTAGTCGATCACTTTGATCGGACGGCGTAGATGAAAACCCTAACTCTAATAGTCCGACCCTCGGACGGAGAGGACCTTAACCTTATGAGAAGATTGGGAGAATGTGTGTGGGTGCGCGGCGTTTATGGCTCAAAATATATATAGGCTTTATCTGTCTTTCACGATGACTTGGTGTACTCAGATGTACGTGAGCTCGGGTGACGTGCTCGGGTTTCATTGGTTCTTATAGTATGGGACTTGATTGGATCAACAGAGTTTGCACATATATTTTGTAATTAGCCATTGGCGAATAAGGTTGATGATTCTTTTGACTCAAAACAAACGATTACGATGTCTATGAATTATAAGTTTTGGTTCTAACCACTTTTTGATTCGTGTTGATACTTCTAACCGGTATGTTTTGACGATTGTAATGTCAAATTGGGTGTCAATTTTTATACATTACGAGTCTCTAAAGCTGCTGCAAACGTGTTATGTTTCAATTTCTTTTAATTTTTATGACAACTCAATCATCATAGTGTAAAATGTATACTAATTTCCTTGTGAGTTTTGCATTTTGTTAACATATATGCGCACAATAGAATAAACAAAATATAATGACGAAATTGACATTCGATGGAATATTGGCACAAACTAAAAATTTAGAGACCTCAAAACGAAATTAAAAGCTCAAAGGACAAAGTAAAACGAGTTCGAAAGTTCAGGTTCATTGAGCATTGATGTAGATAGAATAAGTCCAAACCTTAAGGATGCCCTTGAAATTTTAAAACCTGCAATAGTGCAGTTTATCCCTTCAAGAGAGAGAGAGAGAGAGAGAGGCTTGGTAAATAACATTCACTAAGTAGAAAGGTCTTCATCGATACAGAGAAATTCTAAAAGAATAAACAAATCAGTAGTAGTAGTAGTCCACATTGTCCCAAGAGATGCCAATGGAAGACCAAATCCAAAAGAAATAGTTCCGAATCGATCCTTTACCGGAAGAAGCTAACGAGGATGACACCATGGACTCATATTATACACCACAGTGACAAACCGATGTATGTCTAAGTGAGACTAGTAGCAAAGCACGAGGTAAAGAAACAAGGGCCCTCCAACTCCAATTCCGCAAGCTGTGTGTCAAACTTTCATGGTTTGGGGCTTCTGTAAATTGTCTTCTTTGTATAACAACCTCCTCTTGTTCGACCCGTAACCTTGATACTGGTAGATTATGCTGTACAGGCACTGCCTCAGCAGCATTATGTCAAATCCTTCTATAAACCTCAAATCTGTTGGTCTAGACTTCACGCCGGCAAAACGCTGGTACTCCTCAAACACAGAAGACAAACACCAATTCTGAAATTTTCGTAGGCAACCAACAAGACAACCTGTCCGATGCTGTAACAGCAAAATTGCAAACAAAAGGTGAGAAAGAACTGCCATAACCGAAAAATTGTTACAATCCTAAAAGTTCCTGTCATTAACAAGAGAAAGTGCATATTGCCGTATCAGTTTGAAATTCAAGGAGGCCCTAATGTGACACTACTCCGGATATATTATACACCGGATATATTATCTGTTGTTATATGAGGTTATACTATCATGGAGATTTGGAGAAAATGATTCCTGGCTGAAACCTAGAAACACAGATAAACTATAAGCCAGCAAAAGATAAATTCTTTAAGGAAAGATCTCTCACTGATAACAAATACATCAATAGTTAAAAGTACGGCATTCAGTTTCTGATGCTTTGCATGTTAAACAGTAGGAGCCTGAGCAAAGCCAGCCCGTTTTGGGAAATGACAGAGACTATTTTTTAAAAGCTGAATCCTATTTTCTTAGACATCTCTACATAATATTAACAATGATCAACAACAAGAATGAAATGTTTACATTGTTTGAATAAAGAGAATCCATATCGATCAAGAAAATAAAATCTCAAATCTAAATGAACGGTAATGCACTCTAAATTCTGTTCTTGAAAAACTAATTTTGATTTGTTGAACACTGAAATGAAAGCTAAATTGACTTCTGAAGAAACAAGTATTGTATCATAAGACAGTGCGTCCAAGTAAAACAAATTATGACAGGCTGATGATAGATAGAACATATAAGATTTACCTTTCCACGCTTGCAGTGGATCAAAACTGGATGATTTCGCACATCTAGAAACACGAAAAAGGTTACAGTTAGAAATTATGAAGTGTAATACTAAAAATTAAATACAAAGTTAAATATAAAAAAGAAAGGCAGAACTGCCATATTAGCCCAGTACCAATGAGGATTTTCAGAGCCTCCAGGATGGTATCCTTAAGAATAGATACAGAAGGCTCCTGCATATAGACATGGACATAAACCTATCAACACAACACATTATACAACATAGCCCATATCCCATCAAACGTCAGCCAAGCATGTCGTTCCCCATTCAATTAAAACGTAAAACGTAATAGTTGTAATAATACATCTTAAATTTACAGATGTGTGCGCTCACGTAAGCATATATCAGGAGCAAACAAATAGCATATATGAATCTCACAAAAAGATTTAAACTGAACAATTTCGACAAACAATCACAGAAAGAGGGAGGGAGAGTATACCGTCTTCCCCTCAATTCCAAACTGCAGTAGCTGAATATTCTGAGACCGAAGAAACTCCAAATTCTCCTCTGGATACGGCTCGGGACACAAATATCTGCTCCAAAACCCAGAATTAATCACAATAAACGCTATATTCCCATTAAAGCAAATAAACTGATTCCGTTCTGTTTAGTCACCAGGAAATACATGACAATCCTTACAAAAACTTAAGAGTTTTTTGCTTTTTCTAATTCCTCTCTCTAGAAACAACTCAGACAACTCTCAATTAGTTTCTTGCTTTTCTTTCCCTCGATTTTCTTGGCAATCAAACGGTGTCCGAAAGTAATAAATTCTTCAAACGAATCACAGACGTTAATCAGATCCTTCAATGCAAAAACACTTAATTTACGCTAAAAACTCAAAAACAAAGACTAAAAGATATTCTTTTCCAATATTTTCCTTTCTTTCTCACGTAATTCAATTTTCCGTCGGTTTTCTCAGCAACCAAACACCTCACAAATCGCAATGCGACCTTCAAACACACACACACGCACACATGGACCGATAGATGCATGCACACGAATAAAATGCTTATAGAAGATAAAGTCTTTACATGATTGATCGAAGATTAAGCGATTTGAGGAAAGGAAAATTGGACGGCTGCGGGAAGCTGGATCTGAAAATGCCGTCCTCCACCATGGAGAAATTGATGGGCGGTTCCAAAACGTCGTCGTACTCGTCGTTCTTCATCTTCATCTGCTCTTTCATCCCTCTCTTGGTTCGTCTCTCTTCCGAAATACGGGCAGAGAACAACACAGAATGCAGAGCGCAGAGCGCAGGCGTTTGGTGTTACGAAATAGAGGAGGAGGCGGAGGAGGAGGTCATGGTTTTGGAAGGGGAAAAGGAGGAGGAAATGACGCCGTTGAGGGAGGGGGGTTGAGTTTTCATGTTTTCATGTGAAAGCGATTGGATTTTGAATTGGATTTGGATTCCAACTTTTCTTCCAACGTGTTCGAGGTTCTTGTGGACTTGTCTTCTCATCATCTAGCACCTCTTATAATCTTTTTTACCTCCATTTTTTATATTACAAAATAATAATTTGACTTGAAAATAATTTTCACATTTATTTATTTATTTTTAACTGTTTGATTGAATGAATTGAACAAAAATTAATAAATAGAAATTAACAAGCGTGTGAGTATTAAAAAATGGTGTGTAAATAACACTTTTTTTTTTGGGTTATTTATGCATAATTTTTATTGATTTATTTAATCTCGTAGTCAGAAATAAATAAAAGAAAAAAAATGTGTGAAAGTTAATTTCGGTTTTGACCCTTGTTAGGTTTTTTTCCTTGCTTTTTTTTTTTTTTTTTTTTTTTTTGGTTTGTTTTTAGTAAAGCCATAATTTGGGAGGGTGTTAGGAAGTTTCCATTGGTGTAATTCAAAAGCCACCATTCATCAAGTTTGAGATCTCTCAGGGTTCAGAGAAAATTAGTTTTTTGGCTAAACAAATTAAACCGTACCCACCATTCAGTAGATGCCAATTTTTTATTTTAGGTTTATAGGTTATAACAGCCAAATAGCTATGCATATTTCAACATAATTGATTTTAAATATTATTTTTCTAAATTAAAATAATTTGAAATATCGTGTTATGGACCAATAAAAAAAGAGAACTTAGACAAATATAACATTGATGACGGCAGTAGAAAAAATAAGGATTCTCAATGGGAAGTTGGGATAAGGTCGGACTGAGTTTAATATTTGATCGTTTCCAAGAATCCACATAGATATCAACACCATGTGGTCTGCGCTATCAAACATGTTAGTCAAAAGGATATTATTCTGTCGACGAAAGGCCATTGCATTAAGCCGGGAAAAACTGTCAACAGCAGTTAGCTGAATTGGTAAAAATCGTTCTTTTTATTAGATCAACATTTAAATTCAGTTTCGTTACCGACATTTTTCTTGATGAGCAATTTGTAAAAATCAAATAAAGGCTAAGATCCGCTTTGTAAGTTAAAAAAAAACTTATTGTATGCCCGAAAAATAAAGGGACGTTTCGTGTCATTTTCGTTGAGATTCAATGGATTTCTTCATCGCCACTTTTATTTCCCTTTTTTTAAGGAAGCATCATTCATGTGAGCTTTCTGTAGCTGGTTTTTGAATCTGGACTACCATTTAGTTAATAAAAATAAAAAAGTTGGTCCCTAAATAATTAAATTTATCTTTTAGAAAAGAGTATTGTTTTTTGAGTCCGGATCTTTTTTTTGTGAAAATCTCGAAAATCTATTAATTATGTCTGTTTATTGTACATCGTGAGGTTAAAAAATATTTTAAATATTTTAATTTAAAAATAAATATAAATAATACTTGATAAAAAATAACCACACGATATACGATGAACGAACACGATTTACATAACCCACATATCCCCACCAAAAGAATCCGAAGAGGATCCGGTTAGTTGTTTGTTTTTTAACTCGGTATAAAGTTGAAACCCTCTCTCGTGAATTGATTTATTTGATTCAACCCATCCAAATGTGACTTGTCAACACACATTCAACATTCAAGCACGCAGGTTGCAACTTTTCTCTCCTTTTGCTTGCAAGTTGGTTGAGTGGTTCCTTTTCATTTTTCTATAATTAGACACTTTCTAGTAATTTTAGTGACATTTGTGGATCATCGACGGTCAAAATAGCTTGTATTGTGTGGGAGCCTTCTCAAAACGCGTTCATTGTAGCTTATTGTTGCGTTTGGTTTGACAAATCACCTGACATTTTATTCATTATGTTTTCGTACTATTAGTATATTCAGCTGTTTGATCTTGATGTGTCGTGGAGAGGGGGAGGGGGCGGTTTCTATTTTGGAATTTGAATAGAGCGCACATTCAGCTGTTAATTGTTTAAAATCGTCATGGATGACCAGATATCGAGTAAGACGTGTTGTGGGTCCAACCCAAATTCCTATCACTAGAAGACCATGCAATCAAAACATCTAACCAAGGCAGTCCAGCCCAAATCTAAACCAATACCAAAGCGAAGATAAAGTCCTAGCCCAACCAATTTTGGAACTCAAAGGAAATAAAAGGGGTAACGTTGGATAAGGGATAAGGTTTTGGAAACACCTCATCCAGTGGAATCAGAGGGGTCTCTGACCACCACAACATCTCACTACATTTGCAAAATATACTTACCTGCCCCATATCTGCCCTCTCTCACTCTCCCATTCTTTGGTTACAACTGTGTGTGTGTATCTTCTGCAGTTGGTGCAAAAGTGATGGCCTCAGCTTCCCCAATGGCCAGCCAGCTTAAATCCAACTTCACCTCTCCGATCACCACCAGACCTGCCTTGCTCTCTCCCAAAGGCCTCTCTGCCTCCCCATTCAGGCTCTTCCCTTCCAGGAGACTCTCTTCCTTCTCCATCAAGGCTGTCCAATCGGACAAGGTACTTTTACTTCTCCTCGTCATACATTTTCACTTCATGCGTGTCTGCATTAGTGCCCTCGACTATCGCTAACAAAATGTACCGACATATTATTGATACCTTGTTAATGGTGCGTCAGTCATTTTAACCGGCGTTTTGTATAGAGAATATCGGATATGAATATACTTCTGACCTATTGTATGATTTAGCACGGTAGCACTAGCCACTAGGTTTAGTTGTCTTATATAAGTAGGAAGATTTAGGTTCGGCTCTCGTACATAGTTAACAACTTAATTATGCCCTATTGTATGATTTAGCGCAAATACTAGTGTCAATAAAAGCTCCCTGAGTTTAATGTGTTTGTAATGTTATGGTATGATGATTGAATCAATGTTGCAGCAAAATTTCCAAGTGATTCAACCCATCAACGGTGATCCTTTCATTGGAAGCTTGGAGACTCCAGTGACATCAAGCCCTTTGATTGCCTGGTACTTGTCCAACCTCCCAGCCTACAGGACAGCAGTCAGCCCACTTCTCAGGGGCGTTGAGGTGGGCCTGGCCCACGGTTTCCTCCTGGTAGGCCCGTTTGTCAAGACTGGCCCATTGAGGAACACTCCCTATGCTGGGGGAGCTGGCTCCTTGGCTGCTGCTGGTCTTGTAGTCATCCTAACCCTGTGCTTGACAATCTATGGAATTTCCTCCTTCAAGGAAGGAGAGCCATCCTCCGCGCCCGCTTTGACATTGACTGGCCGGAAGAAGGAGCCCGACCAGCTTCAAACCGCTGAGGGATGGTCTAAATTCACCGGCGGCTTCTTCTTCGGAGGCATTTCGGGTGTCACTTGGGCCTACTTCCTCCTCTATGTTGTTAACCTTCCTTACTTCTTCAAGTAGACTTACTTCTTTTTATCAAACTGTAATCACTCATGTCATGTATGCCACATTGTTTGTGAAATATATTTTATTTTTGATCACTTTGTCACAACTAACCTAATGCACTTCAAATTACCATAAATTCACAATTTTAAAAATGCCAAAAAAGTACGTGTGTATGTATATGTATATGTATGTATATCAGATATCAGATGCCATATAATTAATTACAAACCCATAGATTCATCACTCATTACAGCATTCAAGCTTCAGAAAAACCATACTGGAAGATGTACGTAGCGGGGTAGACAGAGAATTCGATTTCAATTTGGATATCCTACGAACCAAACGAGCCCTTTGATCTTAAATATAATCACATCATCCCTCCACCACTCTTTTCAACAAATTTTGAAGAAGAACCATGAACAAGAGGTGGTACTGCAGCTTCAGATTGTGAGGGCACAGATAGCTCAAATTGCCTCCAAGAAACAGGGGAAACAGAGAGCAGATCAGGCGATACGAGATTATCCCAGCCCCCAAAGGGGTCAGTTGTTGCAGAGGCAGCGGAAGCTGAAGTGGAAGCGTCCCAACCTATGTGTGTCACATGTTTCACATCCGTTGGACACCCTATTTCCATATCCATTTCCAGCACTTCTTCCATATCATCCTTGTAAACTATCAGGGAAATGGCCACACGAATAAGTAAAGATAAACAAGAGCTGTCGTGGTAGTAGTCACATTGACTAGAGCGGATGTACTCCCCAAAACAATGATAACCAAATCACGCGTTCATTGAGGCTTACCAAATTGCTGAGAGAAGTTCTTGAAACCCTTGACGAGCCTATGAATACCGGTTGATATGTTTGGTTTCGGGAGAGCCAGGGATCTAAACGAGTTCTTCATGCCTTCGCCCGATAAGCTATCTTCTTCATCTTCTTCCTCTTCAGCCTCTTTAGCTCCTTTTCAGAAATCATCAAAATAACATGAAAACATAAGCTAGCTAGCAAATTAGAGAGAGAAACACACTGCATGGAAGTACGTATATATATGAGAGAGAGAGAGAGAGAGAGAGAGACTTATTGGAGACGGCTTTGTGTCCGGTTTTGATCTTCTGGGCGGCTGCTGCTGCACGCCGGCAACAGCAACGCTTGATTCAGAAACGCAACCAATTGCGTAAGGAAGAAGAACGAATCTTTCCATTCTTTGTCTCATTTTCCCATCAAACAACGCAAACGAAAAGAGAGATGGAAATGTGGAGAAATGGTGGTTGGGAAAATGCAAAATCGGGGGTGGGAAAATGGTTTGTTATAGCAGAAGAGTATGCGATGCACTGGCTTTGTTATCAAGTCACAATAATTTTACGTATGAAAAAGTCAAGCTACATATGCAAGTATGTTTGGTAGCGATGGAGAAGATAAACACAAATTAACATTTGCAATACTCCAATTGATGGTTATGTTTGGACGTGATTTAAACATTACTTAAGTTGGGTTGAGAAGTTTAACCTAAAC